GACCAAAGAGCATCAGACATTTGGAGAGCAGTGTCACCTTCCTCTATGAGTCAGAGCTGGTGTTTAGGGTACTTCACACCACAGGGATCTTTGAAGCATTACATGAAGAACCACAAGAAGAAAAAATTGCTTTTTTCCTAGAAGTTGGCATAACCTGAAGTTTAAGCACATGGCTCTAAGTTTACTGCAGAAAAACCTTGGAAAGATGTGGTCCTATCATCGAGGGGTCATTTGTCTAGCTTATTGGGGTCTCCAAGGACAAAAGTACACTGGAATGATGGAAGGGAGCTGACGGTGTTCTTCAAGTAAACAAGAAAGGTGGGAGGGAAGAAACGTGGTAAAAAATTGCAGTGATATTCCTGAATTTTGCACAGGTCTCTCAGCAGATCAGCATCAGTGGAACTCTAACAGAGGTTAAAAAAGCAAAAGTTACTGCTTCCTCAGCTTTGCAGTTGCACACTGAGAGAAATGACAATACAGTATGTGCCTGCAGTGTTACTCCTATGAGAACTCATTAATATCATGGAGTCTGTTTAAGCATTTCAGCAGCAGTTGCAGTCATACAGCTCAACCAGACCCAAACAGCACTGAAGAAAGTGAGGCTTGATTTTCAACAAGCTCTAGATAACCTACACCTCCCATTGATGGCAATGAGAACTGCAGGCACGTAGAATCCCAATCCTAAACCTTCCATTTTCTCTCCTGCAAGAACCTTAGCTGTAAGGATGTGAGGAGCACACAGACCTTTTGATTCTGTTATACCTCCTGCCTGTGACTTACACAGCAGCACGTGCAAGCTTTAGGAGAAAAACAGCTATGTGATCATCTGTTAGGGGGAATACTGAAGAGCAGCAGTGTTTGTGAAATAAGACAGAATGTTTGCCCTTGGAAAAATAACGTTTAGTCTTCTGAGAAAGAGGTGAAAACATGGAATGCAATTAGCTTGTGCTTCTCCTAGTCGTCTGCAAACTGTCTCTTAGAAGTGCAGATGCTGCAGTTTCCATTCTTTCCAGGTAGAGTTATGAATGTTTGGGAAATGTTTATAAATAAAGGAAAGAATGTAAGTTCTGCAAAGGACTGGGGATGGGATTATTGCCCTGTGCGTCAGTGCAGAGTATATTATATAGCCAATTTGTTTCTATTGCTATAGGCATTTTTATATCTTCATATACATTTTTAAAGAATTTTATTGGTACTTAAATTCTACTGTAGTAGTGATGATACTGTGGTGGCATTGTTGATCTCTTGTATCTGTCTCTCAAATAAAAGGTTTCTCTAGTGTTCTTATTGGTTGGAAAAGCTATCTGAAAGAAAAACAGCTCAGAGGGCCGTGATCAGTGTTTTTCCTTGCAGGCCATAATAGTGATCATTTTTCTTCTGTTCTGAAACAGGAAATTTGCTGAACTGGTTTGCAAATCCCTCAAAAAGAGTACAGGACTATGGGTAAGGTTTGTCTTTAAAGCAGCTCCACAGAAGCCAGAATGTATATAAGGAAAGAAGCTGAATGTTACAGTCTGTTAGGATATGAATGTGAGTTTAAAGGAGCAGCAAAGCTGAGCTCTCTGTGCTTTCCACATCTGGTGAGGTGACAGAAATTGTTCTTCTGAAAGAAGCAGATTGGCCATTTGGTGAACCAGGGCTGAAAGTAGTATCTGTGCTTCTGTGCTATGGGCCTGCCCTGCCAGTGGAGAAATATTGGGAATGGGTTTCTGAAGCAATAGAACAGTGAGTGGTGACAAATATCTCACTGGTAATTTTGCTTTGAATTACCGTGTGCTACTTCTTTCACATGTGTGAATGTGGTCCTTCTGCAGATAAAATGGACATGGAAAACAGAATAACTCTGCTAACTACTATCAGCCTTTGAGGGCAGGCCTGGTGCAACTCAACACCGTTATTCATTATTTCAGTGGATAGTCTCCAAAAGCAGGAGAGAAAAGAAGGGGGGGAAAAGGTGCTTTCTAGCTCCATGTGCTTTTTTCTTCAAGGAGTTTGATAGGTTTGAGACACGGAAGTGAGAAGGAGCTTAAATCCTAGTGAAATGGGTGAGTAATAACACTGCAGACTTCAGAGGAAATGGTAGGCAACAGATTGTTTTGTACCTCTCATAGGCACTGAGAAATGGAGATTACTGCTTTTGAAAATCCAAGTATATGCAGCTTCACCAAGGACTGCACAGCAACTCTTCATCAGAGTTAAAATTAAAACGTGCAACTGCACAGTCCAGGCATGTTCCATAAGCTAGAAATGTCTGATTATCTGCAGGCCTGATCTGGTCCCTGGAACAAATTCACATAGCCCAGCAAAAACTTGTCTGAATATACAATGTAATGCAGCTCCTAGATAAAAAACATTCATATGGTCTGTCCCCTTATCTACCAAGAAATGTCACAACCCCACTTAATCGTGTGGAAGCGTAACGCAGTTGTTGGGTCATCTGTTTGTTGAAGAGCACCTTCTGGGTCATTTTCCTGTCTTGACCTTTTCATTCTTACAACTGTTTGATTTCCTGCCATTGTCAATGAGAGAACCTTTGTATAAGCACCCCTGGCCCTGGGATACCGCAGTCTGTATGGCTTAAGACACTGAGTAACAACCTTGTCTTTAAGGTTCCATGTACTCACACATATGTACACTTTATAGTGAGCACTGAGAGGCAAGCTGCCTAATTGTTGAGAGGGAGATATTCCTCATGGGGAAGGAAGACAAAAACAATTTGATTTTCATGAGACAAGAGCTGAAGTTCCGTGTAGCAGTGCTCAGTAAGGAACAACAGTGCCCCTTGGCTGACAGTCAGAGCATGCTGCTTTGTTGCTTGTGATAAAGGATCCTAGCCCAATTTCTGCACCGTCAACTTGCATCTGTATCTTCAAACTGAGCAGAGTCAGGTGAATGTAGAACCTTCTCCTTTGGATTCAGTTAAGCCATAAGTAGGTATGATGTTTATGTCTGGTACATTACTGCATCCTGAAGATCACCTTTGGAACGTGGGTTGATAAAGCAGGAGGTGTTTTTACTTTCTGTAGCCCTAACCCTGACTTATACTGTATGGGAACTGCTGAGTCACGGCCTGAACCTCTGATTGATCCCCTGTGGTGAGCCCAGCATAAGGGTAAGCCTTCCATTTATTCTCTCTTGTTATCATAGTCCACTTTGCCTAACTCTCTTGTTTATTTTGTGATTGTAACATCTTGATATCCATTGATTATACATATACTGTGTGTGCATGGGACTAAATCCACATCAGGTTTGTGTCTCAGTTCAGTAGAGTCTGCGCACTGAATGGTAGGCTTATGGTTTAAAAGCTTATGGAAGGCTATTTACTGAATAACTGGAGTACAGGACCAAGCAGGAGAAAGCCCAGGCTTTAAGGGAAGCCTCTAGCTTACATCAGAACGTGTAACAGTAAAACACCAGACTCTTAAGTTACTTACATACTCACTAACATGACCCTTCATAGACTTCTGCATGTTACATATCAAGAACACTTAAAAAAAAAAAAAACAACCCTAAGATTTTAGAAATAAAACAGAAGACAACAAACAAAGCATATACTAAATAAATCAATTAGCACCAACTCACCCAGAGCTGTGGTCATTTCTACAACCCAATGTCTGTCTGTTATCTAGCTGGTTAATACAGGGAGTAGTCATGGATCTCCAGTATTAAAGCTAACCGTCTTGCCACTGCAAAAAGTCAAAGTGGTAAATGCTGTGGGGTAAATAACAGTGGGGTTACAAGAGGAAAAAGCATCAATCATGCAAATTTATTTGAAAGATTCAACACATTTTCTGTTCCATGTATGTATTCCATGTGATGGTACTTGAGCTTTAATGCTTAACAGGAGAGCGTTTCCTCTGTGTGCAGGCAGCTGTGGCAGAATAAGTGAGTGGGCATCACCATGGCAGCCACTGACTGATATGGATGGTCATCTCCAGATGGATTATTGTAGAATCGGGACAGTATGAAAAGGCCCAAAGGAAAAATCAACACGTGGTTGCGTTGCAAACTGTCAGTGCTAACAGTATATCACCAGGAGTTGTGTTCAGCTTACAGTATTTTCACCTAACAATCAATCCTGGGGCCTTTAGTGAGTCAAGCAGTCTTTATTGGTGTGGATAATAAGGCTATTTATAAAGTAAATTATTTCAGGATGGATTCTCTGGAATGGCAAAGAGCAGAAATGTGTTTTTACCCTTAGTAGGCATAATATAAGGAATGACAGTGCAGTATTTTTTCACACAGAGACCACGTGCATTAGACATGCTTAAAATTAAATCCCTGCTCACAGAAAACAAGTGCCGGAGAGATGGTTTTGTGGGAACTCTTGTGAAAATAAATAAATAAAACACAGGTGGATGGACCTGCTAGAAAAGTCATCTCAGCCTACGTGCAGTGCAGAGCAGCGCTGCAAAATCATAGAGTCATAGAATGGCCTGGGTTGGAAAGGACCACAGTGACCATCAGTTCCAACCCTCTGCTATGTGCAGGGTCACCAACCAGCAGACCAGGCTGCCCAGAGCCACATCCAGCCTTGAATGCCTCCAGGGTGGGGCATCCACAGCCTCCTTGGGCAGAAAAAGGTGGCTGTTTGTCTCGTGGCGGCCTCGTCAAGATGTGACCACAGCAAATGGCCAGGGGCTGTTGTTTGGGGATTTTTTTCCTCGTTTTCAGAGACCAAGGATTCTCTTGGCCCATTTAAAAAGACAAAAACCAGAAAACTAACGCGGTTGGACACCATCTGCTCCCTCCCTTCAGCCGGTTATCAATTCCCCCTGCCCCAGCCCCGGACAGATGGTGCCCATCCCCTCCCGGGCCTCCCGAGGGACGGGACACCCCGCTCCTGTGTGCAAGGGACGAGAAACGGGGGCGGTGCGGGAGGAGGCTGCGGGGGTGATGCGCGCCGTGCAGGGCCGCTCTCCCGGAGCAGAGGGCGCGGGCGGGTGCGGCTGGGTCCTCCAGCCCTCCAGAAGGAGCTGCTCGTGCCCGGGGAGCGGGGCCGGGCGGGCGCCCGCCGGGGGAAGATGGAGGCGGGCGGCCGGGAGCGGTGAGAGCCGCGGGGCGCGATGTGAGTGCCGGCGGGCAGGGGAAGGAAGGGGAGGGTGGGAGCGGGTTTTAGGAGGTGGGGTTTGGAAACCTCCTCCGCGGGCTGCCGCTTGCGATGACCCCGGGGGGAAGGAGGAGGAGGCGGAAAGGGGGGATCGGCTCGGTGAATGAATGGGCGGCGGCGGCTCCCCCGCTCCATGGCCGCTGGGCTGAGCCGCGCCGCCGCCTCCCTCTCACCGCCGCGTTTCGTGTCAGGCTCGCCCCGTTCGGAGCTCCCCAGCCATGTTCAACCAGCAGCAGTTCCAGCAGCAGCTGCTGCAGCTCCAGCACCTCCTCCAGCAGCAGCACCACCACCCCCCGGCGCAGCAGGGAGGCCGGTAAGCGCCGCTACGCGAGGCCGGGGATCGCGGGCCTGTCCCGAGGGAGCCGCTCTTTTCCGCCTCCGGCCGAAGCCCGGCTCCGTGCCTGCCCTCCCCCGGCGGGGAAGGCGACGAAGGGGAGCGGGGGACGGCGGGCGGGGGCGGGGGGGGGTCGGACGGAGGTCCGGAGCTTTGGGGGCGATGAGGGGCGGCGGGCCGCTGTGGGGAGGCCGCGCCGCGGGGTGCTGGCAGTGCGAGCCGGCCCTGAGGCGCTGGAACGGCACGGGGCAGAGCGAAGGGATGAAGGGATGCTGCAGGCAGCCTCCCCTCGGCTCCGCTCCTTCCTTCCCCGCCTGCGGTGGGGTGAGGGGTTGGCGGGGTCCCTGGATAATGGAAAATGCCCTTTTTTTCTCAGAAATACACCCGTGGTTGAGCCGTGTTAAACAGGGCCTTCGCTGTTGTATTTTTTTATTTTAACGTTTATGTTACACGGACTCAACTTCTGTTTTCTTTATTTCCTATTCCCTGCTATCCATCCCTCCCCCCCCATCTCCTGGCCAGGATGGGGTCATTGCACGCCGTACAACTGATCTGTGCTGTGGTACCACAGCTGGGGCTGGGGCTGAGTGACTGGGAGATGGCCTTTAAAAAATAAATAAATAAATAAAAACAACAAATGGTGTCTGCCAGAAACGAAGAAGCAAATAAGCAGGGTTTCCTACAAAATCTACAAGGGAGAAAACAGCTGTTTCCGATGGAGCGGTTGTCCCCGATGAGCTGAGATTTATTGAACTCATAAAAATGCTCTGAAATGATGGGTTTAATTGCAGTCACTGGGCCCTGTGAAGCCTTCTGCTGTAGAAATTCACAGCAATAGGGTGTGATTTCAAGAGAAATGCAAATTTTCTGATTTAACAAGTTTCAGAAACAGCTTCACAAAGCGTATGATTTTGAGGAAAATGAGGGAATCTTTCTGTTCTGGAAGTATTCATCTCTCTCAATCTTTTTTTTTTTTTTTTTAAATCTCTAAAACCCTTACCATGCCAAAATGAGGCTGACTGAGAAGTAGCATGGAGAGCTCAGGTACCTCTCAAAGTATGATTTTTCCAGCATAAATTTCTTAGCTCTCAGTCTGGAACAATCCAACACAGCAGACGTGAGGATTCGCTGCTGTAAAATCTGTTAAGAGGTTGTTATTTATTTTTTTTTTTGTCAACATGGTTATTTTGATCCATGTTTGTACCTCTTTCCAGCCCATGCAGATTTAGCTGTGTCAGCAGTCATTTTTAGAGGAGGCCCTGACCTTGCTATTGCCTGCAGAAATGATTGCCTGGAGAAATGCCTGCCGCTTCCCTCAGACTTTTGTCTCCTGCCTGCTCCACCCTCCTTGGGACCTGAGAGTCCTTTTCAGCACGATTCTTCCTCCTCGCGTTTTAAATGCGAAGGCTGTGCTTCGTTTTATCGCCCTGTTCTTGCAGTTAGGGGGCACCATTTACAATTATGACCTGTCTGGTTCGATGTGGGAGGTGAAGGTTTTGGGAAACGTTCTTTAAGCTGCTGAAAACTCCCTGTTTTTCCAAACTTTTGTGGTTGTTAAATGTAGCTGCTGATCTAGATCACTGGTCTCGACTGGAGACCTGCTGCATAATGCTGTAGAGCTGCAGTCAGCTCCTGGGCTGTCTTTTTTTGACAGCTCTGTGTGGGCTTGGTGCTAAGGAGTTCTCTCTGACCTCAAATTTCTTGATAGACAATCTGTCAGCTCTGGAAATTCCAGGAGAGTGGAAGAAAGAAGATACAGCGTTGGTGTACGGTGTCTTTTCATGCATGTATATGAGCATCTCGACTCTTCTACTTGCTGAAAATTGGGGGTATGGTTTTGATTGGATTCTTATGAGTAATACCTTCTTTTCCAGTGGTTTGCCGCCGCCGCCGCCGCCACCACAACAGCAACAGATGCTGAGCTTACGGGCAGCAAATCAACCATCCCTACTCAATGCCAATCCTATGCTTCAGCGGGCCTTACTCATGCAGCAGATGCAAGGTACTGTCGTTATGGGAGACGCTTACTGCAGTTATTTAATCACTCTTCATGGGTTGAAACCAAAATATGGCTGTTTCTTCCTTAACCGTTGCAGTCCTTGCATTTGGCATTTTGGTTTGTTGTCTTCTTCCCCTTCAAATCTGTTCGTGTTACACATTATGAAAGTTCTTCACATGATGAAAATCCCACGTGCCTTAATGCTCACAATTGAGGATAGCACTAGAAGCTACCAGAACAATACAAAATACGTGCATTGGAAAAGGATTTTCTCATAGAATTGGTGGAAAGTGTATTTTTCATCAATATATTTAGAAAAATAGTTGGGTTGTTTTTTTCCTAAATCTGCTTGTCTCATTTGGGGGACTTTATTTCACTGACTGTTACGTACGTGCTAAACTTGTTTGCAGAAGTAGGTGCTTGTCCAGGCTTAGTGAGTGCAGACAAATAAAGTACATTGTGGTGAAAAGTGATTTAGGGTTCAATTGTTGTGTGAAGTTTTGATTCCCTGAAATGACTGCCATCTGTATGAAGTGTACTGTCACTGCTTTTCCATCATTACGTTTCCACAAGTCGATTTTTTGGTGCATTTTCAAAACAAATTTATGAAGCTGCCTGAATAATAGCATTGGTAACATAAGGATGTGAAAACGTAGCTTTTTCCCTAATATCTTCAACTGACAGCTGCTTTCAACACAGAGGATCAGTACCTGGGATAGTTTTAAAGTGCCTGCTTTAGAGGAATGCCTTGGATTTTTGTCTTATGTGTGAATTGTGCCCATATGTGTAGACAATAGATTTCTTCTGCATATTGTTACCTCGCCTTTTGTTCTCTTGCCCATTTAGTAGAGGGCTCTCTAGTGACTCCAGTGGCTCTCTGTAGATCTTTGTCAGGTTGCGGGGAAACTCACAGTAATAAAAAACAAATCATACTCTGAATATAGATCCAGATTGAAGTGTGTGTTTGTGGCAGAGGAAAGGAAGTCTGAGGAGCCAGTCGTTCTCCTTTCAAACACATTGGTGTTTGCATAGCCTGGCCTTTTCTCTAAAGTAAAATCTCTTATTGAGAAGTTGTACCTAATTAGCATGCCAAAGACCTCAGGCAAATGAGATATGAAAACAGGAGAAGGTTTATTAATGAGCGCACGGCAGCTCTTTGATTTCGTGTTGTTCCTCTCTCTTTTCAGCTCTACATGCTGAGTTGAGTTCTGCCTTCTCTTTCAGTGACTGCACCAGCTAGCTGTGGGTGACGTGTAGTACAGATGTGTTCAGTGTGGCCCTTCTTAGGGATCTGATTTATTTATTTTTGTCATTTCAGCTTAGGGTTACATGTAAGAATATCTGATGCTTTAGTAGTTCTGAACCTGGGAGACACGGGGATGAATAATTCATTGTACATGGCTTCAGCAGTAGGAATAGGGAAAAATAAATACTTCAGTTGAAATATATTTACGATTCTTTAAAAGAAGTAAAGCAAGAGCAGGAGATGATTTCTTGCCTTATAGGTTATTTTCTTTCTAAAGACTGCTACGTGTTTTTGCAGTAAGAGATCATTTATGCTAAGTAGTAAGAGATGAGGTTAGTTCTGAAGACAGACATGAGGGAATGCTTCCTGTTGTGTTCCAGGTTTTCAGCAGTGTCGCTTGACTTCAAATTTTGTGTGTCCATCTGCAAACTTCTCTGGCTTGTTTTAACAGCTGTTAAACAATCGGAGTATGCAGTAATTCAAGTGAGAAGTAAAAAATCGCAGTGTAAGTGCAGGTTCCCAGAATGGTGGTCAGAATCTGAGGGAGTGGCTGAGACATCTTCCATTCCCTCACCTCTGAAATGGGGTCAGTATGGACCAGCTTCATTAGGAACTCTTGAGACTTAGTAGCCTGTGGATGCTGAGAAGAGCTGTTCAGAAAGCAGAGCATTATAATTGGAAATGGCAGCTTCTCAAGTGTCTGAGTTCAGGTTGACACATAGAGCTTGTACGATAACTGGATGGCAGAGAAGACTGAAATCTCCTCTTTGAAAAGTCTGGTGTTGCTTTTGATGAAATGCTGTTGCTGGCCCATGTTAAACAGCAGCCAAGCCATGGTGTGAGCTGCCAGCTGCACAAACGTGGGATGAATTTTTGTTTTTTACTGAGAAATTCTGTAAAACGATACCTTGCTTTGTTGCAAATGCAAATACTAGTGTGCTCAGATCAGATAATTGCTCTAATGATCTTAGCCTGCAGGGACAATTATAATTATGTGGCTCAATATATAGCAGTAGCTGCTATCACATCAACTCGTTCAATGGGGGCTAAAAAGGGTAAAGCACAGAGCAGTCGTACAGCACTGGGGAAGGAGGCTGCCTTGTGTGGATGCGCCCTTCCCTTCCCCTGCTGTGTGTGGGGTTTTCTCTCTCCTTTTTCTCTCTCCTTTGCACGCTGATGCGCTGTGTTTGCATTGTAGGAAACCTGCGTGGATTTAACATGACAGCCCCAGCACTGCAGCAGTTTTTCCCTCAGGCTACGAGGCATTCCCTCCTAGGGCCTCCCCCTGTCGGGGTCTCATTAAAGCCCACTCGTCTGGGTTTCCCCAACCTTCCCTTCCAGCGGCAGAACCGGATGTTCCGCAAGGTGAGCTCAGAGCTTCGCGCCGTTCTGGAGTTCAGTGCTGCTTTGGCACTTAGAGCAGTTGGCTGGATTGTAGGTGAAGAGCAAAGAGAAAGGAGAGAGCCTTACAATGAAAAATCAGTTTGCACCGTGCTGTTGGCAAAGAAATGGAGAAACAAGTCCATCCCTAAGGTTCTTGTTGTCTGCATTTACATTTAGGATGCAAAGATTTCTTGTCTGCATCAGGACAGATGTTTTGTCATAGCAGAACTGTTTAAATCTAAAAGAAAAGGAACCTTCAGAATTAGTATCTTCAAAGTAATGACCATAAGAAAAAGCTTTGCTCTTCAGAGGCCAGACTTTTTACCCATTTAGCCTCTCAGAGCTGCTTGTTGATCTCAAAAAACTTGCTACTGTCATGGATATGTAACTCTGCCTTTTGGGGCTGCTTTTTTCCCTTTTTAAAGATAAGGGTCATATCTGTTCATATGGATTTCGTAAAATTTAATTCTTAATGTTCTGGAGAATGTTTCAGAAACCAAACATTCCCCCCTTCCACTATTAAGACCCGTTTTGTGTCCTGAAAATGGTTCTCAGATGAATTGATCAGTGTTCCCTCCTCTTAGATTAGCATTTGCATATCTGCTTTGTCAGAAAGATGTGCTGGATAAGGCAGGCTTCCACACTTGGGCTGTGCCTTCTCCTGAGACTCTCTGCCTGTTGCAGGACTTCCAGAGGCTCCCTGACAGGAAGCGGGAGCTGGATGCAGGTTCTTCATCTCACATGCATGGTGATGAGAAAATAGAATTTAGAGGGGAACTGCGAGCAGGGTCAGAGCAGAACAACTCCCTGTCCACAGGTAAGAGTGAGCCTATAGTGAAACAAACGCTTCTAGACTATGAACTCCTCTAGGCTATTCCTGCAGCAAAGGCTGGAGACAGCTGTAGTCTTACCCTAACTGTAAATACCAAAATTAACTGTCACAGCCCTCTGCTTGTGGTGCTTTTAAAATACCCAGGTAAAAAGTATATTTTTGGTGTTTATGAGCTTGCCCCATATCCCTTGCATGGAAGGCTCTCTGAAGGCACCCTGCCAATGAGCTTCTTGTAAGATGATGGAAACAAAATACAACTGGTTTGAAATTCAGGCTTCCACATGGCCTTGACTGTGCTGAACTGAATGTCTCACAGTCAAACACCTGAAACAGAACAGTTGCAATCAAAAGGCTGAGGAAGAGTTGACTTAAGCGAGTGCTCCAGTTGTCAGAATAAACACTGGCACTGAATCCCATAGAATATCCCCACTTCTGTATTGTGATTGAAAAGTGCATACCCTAAGAACGCAGGCACATGGTGAGGTTGTGGCCAGTGTGTTTGTGGTGGAGAAAATTACCTGCTGGTTATTGTCTGATGGCCATGTCACCTGGTTAATGTTGCATGGTCTGTGCTCTTGTCACCTTGGTGTAGGACAAAGACTCATTTAGTAGACACAAGCATAGATTTCTTACTGAAGCCCAGCTCTTACAATCACATCTGCAGTAAAATTCAAATCTCTTAGGTCATGATTAATTTATTTTACTATTCAACCTTATCACTACAGTCCTCAAGTTCGGAATAAGCAAATGTGTATTTTTATTTGCTGTAAAATAGTTTTATAGGCATTGGCCATTTACTGGGACCTGCTTAGGGTGGCATGGTCTGCTTTGCTAAGGAGATCTTCTGTGTCCTGCAGAACCAAGAACTCCAGCAGAATCTATGTTGAACACTGAGCCTGCAGCAAAAAGACTGAAGAGGTATTTATTGAATGTGGTATTGAAACAGTTACTGGCTTTAGCATTATTGTCTAATTGCATTTTCCTGCAATGTACTGGCCTGATGTCTGGCATTTAGGAGGTATTTCAAAGGATCGTGAACAACTCAGGAAATGTGGGGATGCTTACTGAGCTGTGTTTGCAGGGGTCTCTGTTAAAGGTGGCACGAGGATAGGAATGAAAAATAGAAGATACCTGTTATGCAAGCGTGCAACAAAGTAATGCTTGCTCCTGTGTTCTCCTGCCAGGATTCTCCTAAGAAGCAGAGAAAGCTTTACTGTTCTGAGCTATTTCTCTTAGTTTTCTTGCCTAAGTGCAGTAAAGGGAAATGAGCAGCCAGGTATCAGCAGAGAGGAAAGGCCTTGGGATGTGTTAGGTTACAGCAGGAGTAAGAGAACACAGGGGTTTTTTTGAAGAATGGAAAGAGAAGGGAATCTGTGCTCCATAGTATTCAAGCCTACATTCAGGAGTGTCGAGTTCTGCATCCCTTCTGCAGAGATCCTCTTGCCAGTACCCCTGTGTGTTGGTGAAAAATAAACAAAAGCAATCCTATTATCTGCAGGGCAAGCTGGCCATTGCAGGCCTGTCTTGGCAGTCCCTGCATTCCAGAGGGTGCAAGAAGTAGACAAGGCTGCATTGCCATCTAGTGGGAAGGCACCTAGCAGAGCTCCTCGTGCCATCTGCACAGTGCTGCACCTCTTCCAGAACTCTCACTGCTGCAGGGGGAGAACAGGAAGGAGTGAATAAAGATTTCTGGAGGCACTGATTTGAGAATACTCCAACATATGTTAATGACTGTGAGTCAGGGCTCCTGGGTCCTCTGATCTTCCCTGTTAACAATTCACTGCGTGCTTCTGGACAAGTTTCTTCACCTCTCTGGTTTCCCATCTGTAGATTAGAGATTAATAGTTAGCTTCAGGGAGAATATTCCACGATCATTTTGATGTTTTGATGTTAGTTTCATGGTGTAAAACATTAAAGGGTGATAAATATTATGTGAGCAGAGACCGTTGTGAGTTATGGACTGTGAACCAGCAAGAAAGTGAATAAATTCAGTTTGGGCTAAGTCAGAGGCTTTTGAGCATGTTTTGTTAATCTGTTTGATGAAGTTAATTTAATTTTAATTACATTAATATTTAGTAGATATTAATCAATGTCCTGTTACACGCAATAAAAGTATCAGATCTGAGGAATGGCAGATCTCATTGCAGCAAACCTGCTTGTGGGAACGTCCTTTCCAAAGCAGCAGCTGAGGAGGGCCAGATTTGATTGGTGTCTTATGGCTGGTATTGAGCTGGGATATGTGACTCCTTAGCTTTTTTGAAGGGTTTGTTTACTTTTTATGAGCAGATGATGGGTCTCTGAGAAGAACAGCTTACTGTTGTAATGTTGCCTTTCACAGATGAGGATAGGTCTCCCCCACTTCGTGCCACACTTTTATTTCTTGTTTCATCATTTCATTTTCCATTGGCCAGGAATACCAGCCTCCTCCTTCGCTTCAGGTTTTTCCCACTTCTGCTTTTTCTCATATGTGCCATCTGTATGCCTGGAACAGCATCCTCATTCCAGTGTGGAAAGCACTCATCTTCAAATCCTCCTTGAACACCCATTTCTTCTAGCACGGCCTGACAAGTATCCATATAACACCATTTCCTTCTTGGCTCCTGCTTGCAATGGCTTTTGCACCCCTAGATTGCTCCCTAGACTTTCAGTTTAAGCTGCAAACCCTTGCCCTGGAGTGCTGGCACCATCTGCGTGTGGTGAGCATTGAGCCTGCTGGCAGTACTTGACAAATAATGTTAATGCCAGCCACTCTTGTTTTCTTCATGCTTGCACTGCCCAAGCTCTGCTGCGTATTTATAGCTGTGTAACCCAGTTACATTATCACTTACCACATAATTTATCAGATTGATGCTTGTGTATTTTGATCGCAGGATTCAGTACCTGCACAGTCTGGATTGTTTCTGTGCAGAACGTGCTGCTCCCTGTGGGCAGAAGGATGCTGGCAGGTGGGGCATTGGGCTGGCCTGAAAAAGAAGGCATTCATTCAAACCGTGGTGAAAGTGTTACCTTTTGGGAAAACAGAGGGTAGAGAAAGGTGTTGTAAAGTATGCTCTGTGCCCTCTGCAAGTCAGCTTTTGTTTTTCCTCAGTGATCTCCTCAGGGTCTTTTTTCTCCTTAGCAGATCAGTAGCACCAAAGCAAACAAAGCAAAATTGTTTGACGTGTGTCTCGTAGAGCTCCACTCCCCCCAAAAGCAGAGCTGTAGGGACTCTGGAGTTAAACACTATTGAAACAAATAGAGCAGGCAGTTATGATGAAATCCCTGTGAAATATAATTGAGAAACTGTTCAGTTCTAACGGGTCTCTGTCCCCTCATGCACATAGCAACCTGGAGTGATGTCCAGATACTGCAGCTTCCCTGCAGGTCGCCAATCAGGAAAGGAATGAGCTCTCAGAGCTCTTGCTAAGAATATTTCCTGTATGAGCTTATTTCCCTGCAGGCCTCATGCAGAACAGGGCAGTGATTCAGAGAATCAGTTCTAACTTTCCTGTCCAGATTATTTGGCTGCTGCTTCTGAATCTGTTCTAGAATGCCATTCTCCATTGTTTTCATGTCATTTTTGCTGAATCCATGCCTGCAATACACATCCAGTAGCTTTCTGATTTGGGGGATTTAGTGGAGAATTTGATAGCCTAGATTGCCTATGCCTGTCTTCTGAATCTCTTGGTCTGTAACACTGCAAATAAGGCTGTTTTCTTGATATCTTTTAAGTGTGACTGAAGAGTCTGCTTTAGAGAATGCAGCAGGCAGCAAGGAAGAGTTGAGCACCCACGTCCAAGCTGATGGTGAGTTCCTGGGCACCATGATTTGTATTTTTATATTCCTTGCCTGAGCTGCATTTAGCATTCAGCATCTCTAGATCCTGTGAGTCTTCAGAAATGTCCTCCCCCACATAAAGGGTGGGGAAAGGAGGAGAAGATGTAGGAACCAAATCCAAACATAGTCCCCTGAAAGCTGTTGCTGTTGCCTAGCAAATGCAAATGATGAGAAGAGTTTCCCCTTTAACAGAGCTTACTTGGAAACAGGTTTGTAAGCTGGGCTTATGGCCAGCAGCATTGTGAGGAAAGCTCCCTGACTTCATTCACCTGCTGCTTTGTTTTTCGTTTTTTTCTCATTGCTATTTTGATTTAAGGCAGCTGAAGTGACTCTCTGTCCCTAGGTACAAATAATGTAAAGCAGTACGCAGCTGAAAGTCTCTCTAAAGAGAGGAAATTCTCTGAGGAACCGAAGGCTCCTGAGGTGAGTAGATGCTGTTCCATGCAGGCTGGGGTGGTACAGAACATAAAACCTCCCACTCCATCCCAGAGATGCCCGTTGCCACTGGGAACCAGATGGCACCCACGTCTGGAGCTCTGTCTCCTGCTGTAAGCTGTTGTCCCTAGCAATAAGGCATAATATGTCTGCAATTATTGTGCAGTCTGCTCTGACTTGCTGCTTCTGTGCCTCTGCTAGCTGTACCTCACTGCTGCTGCCTGCTTGTGGATGTTGGGTCTGCTAAGAGCTCAGTACTCAGATGGAAAGATGGAAAGATGAACTGAAAGAACCATTAACAAATATCTGTATTAAAGGGACACTGCTAAAAACACACCTTTTGTTGCTGAAGAGTAGATGTAAAAAATATGGGGTGATGGTAGCAGATGTGCAGCTGCTATGGAACTTGCCATTGCAGCAGACATGAGCAGATAGTGGGAGTCTGTGCTTCTGAAAGGTATTTTGGACAAAGTGAGACATGGGTGAAGCTAGCAACCTGAGAGCCTTCTACATGAAATATCTTGCCCACGTGCTGCATGTCAAACCAGATCTTTCGTTGTTTAAATCTGCAAAAACAGATAAAGATTAACCCATAGTATGAATCGGACTCAAGTTTCCTTTGCTGGAGACATTTGTGGCTTGGTGATGTGATTAAATGTGTCATCCCGCCCTTGTAGGAGCTTCTTCCTCTGTCAGATGTGATTCTGAGCTTCCTTTTATTCTGCAGGGAAGCATGAGCTGATAGTGGCCCTTACCAAGGAACCAAACAATGTTTATCTTCAGTAAGTGGATCATACACAGTACTGAGGCTGACCATTTGTACTGCTAGGCCTGGTACTGCGACACGGGGATTTCCGATCTAGCAGTGCTGGGAGAAGAAGTGTATTGTGAGAGTCTGATCAATTTCCTGTGGATTCCAGCTTAAGTGCACTTTCTTAAGGGGTAGAGAGCTCAGGGCACGTCTAAAATGCAAGTATTTATTTTTAGTCTCTTGTACTTAGAGTTTTGACTTAACCTCGATTCCTTCTCCGGCAGGTGTTGAGCTCTGGAGGTTCACTGAAAGTGACTATCCAGCAGAGCAGCGAGAGCAGAGCTATCAGTACAACAGCTCTGAAACCAGGGCAGTGGACCTGCGAGATGGGCACAGCTGATTCCAACCCTGAATCAGCCCTTAAATTCTACTGTTACATCTGCAAGACCAACTGCTGCAATCAGCAGGTACAAATCCACAGGTCTGACTGGGATGGATGGTCAAGAGAAGTGAATTGGAGGCCAGCTGCCACGGGGAGGTGCATCACAAGACTTGTTAGCCAGAGAAGCATTAAAAAAACAATGACAAGCATGCAGATAAAGCAAACCCTTCTGAGGAGCTGGCAAGCAACCTGAGAACAAGTGTGGGTGGATCCCCAGGCAGCTGTGGTCTTAAGCTTTTATACCATTTCATTGTTATACAGCATTTAAGAGAATGGAAAGCGTAGCTCATGCCTATTATTCTGTATTTTGAATATCTTTAAATGGATCTTTCTCTGAACCTTTTCTTAGAATTTCCAAGCCCACATGGCTGGAATTCAGCACCAGCAGCGACTTGGGGAGATTCAGCACATGAGCAATGTTTGTTTTGTTTCACTACTGCCTATGGTGAAGGAGCAGAAGTTGCTGGCGGAGAAAGATGGGTGAGTGTTGGTCTGAGGTAGCAAACATGATCTCAGCAGGGATCTACGTGAGTTCCAAAACTCTTCAGTGCACCAAGGTGCCCCTGTGCTCCAGGATAATGTACAAAATCCCTCTTGTTTCTGAGCCTTAGGCTGCTTCTGGCATCTTCCTTCCTGATAAAAGATAGTGTTGTGAACTTTGACCTGGTGTGCAGCTCTTAATCCGGTAGATCAAACTGGAGAGTTGTTTTAACTGGTGCCTTTCTGTCAGCATGAGCTATGTTCCCTATGTAAGGGGCTGGAAAATGGAAAAGATAAATCCAAGCAAGTAAAGTTAGTGATATTGAGGAAAATAATGCTGAAACAAATTGCACATGCAGTGTTCTATGGGGAATGTAAAAAGTTATGGCTTACAGATGCTTCTGCTGTCACTTCAGAGAGACCCAGCAGCGGTGGTGTAACACGTGTCAGATACACTTCACAGGGGATCTGATCAAACATCGCAGGACCCAAGAACACAAGGTAATAACCACAGCACAGATTTCTCCTTTGCACTGACCTTTGGTGGGGATTGAGTTTGTTCAGCATCTCCTACTTCCCCAAGCAGCAAGAGAAAGGTGATTGGAGAGATGCACGAGGCTGGTAGCGCTCTCACTGAGGCACTGCCATGCTGCCTGCTGCCTTTGGTCACTGGTATAAGGCTGGACTTCCAGCTGTCATGTTATGGCCTGAAGAAACTCTGGTTTAATTCTCAACTTTCTAAATAAGCATGGTCTACTGTATTTACCTAACCAACGGAATGGAGGAATTGGTGGGCAGCCTTTAAGTTTTTGAGTTAAAGTTTAGGCAGGCCACTGTATTTACTGTGTGTGTATTTGGGTCCTGGGGAAAAATTGCTAGAAAACCTTTTATAAAACACATTTGTTTTGTCATGCACATTTTCCATTGTTTCCACAGATAAGATAAGTGATCCCTTTCTCCTGAAAATAAGACTTCTTTTGTGGTTTGCCTGTTTTAGACACAGGACTGTAACTGTTTCACCCAAGTTTAAGCTGTACTTCTTCAGAGTGGTGCCTTTTGAGGCTGACTGGTCTTCTCCTCTCTCTTCAGCTGGCCAAACGCTCACTTCGTCCTTTCTGCACTGTCTGCAGCCGCCATTTCAAGACCCCCCGCAAGTTTGTGGAGCATATGAAGTCTCCTGAGCATAAACAGAAAGCCAAAGAGGTAATGCTGCCAGAGTAGAGAGCCACCCAGCGCTGGAAGCAGCTACATTGCAGATCTCTTTAGCTTTCAGCTTCCCTGACTACTGCAGGGATTAAGGGAAGGCATGCAGTTCTTCAAACCCTGTTTTAAGAGAAATTGTGTGGAAAAGGGACAGGATGTGGGTGTGTGTGCAAGCAAGATAGCTTCGTGCCTCTCTTGCAGTCCCATCTACTGCAAGATGCGGTCTGTTGAGAGCCTGGGGTCTTCTGTGTTTAGATGGAGAGTGCAGAGTTGATCTTTCTTTTCTGTACCCGTCAGGTGAGACTGGGAGAGAAGGAATTGGGCAGCCCAGAAGATTCAGAGGAGTTGATCACAGTGGATGCTGTTGGCTGTTTTGAAGATGATGAAGAGGAGGAAGAGGAGGAGGAAGAAGAGGAGGGAACTGGTGAGGGAGAAGACCTTGATGTAGTGCTGGTAGAGAATGAGGATTCTGCTGCCAAGCAGGTATGCCATGCAAATGAGGACTGATCTGTCTGAGAATCTGCTGTGGGCTTGTGTGAGTTTGGTTCTTGTCTGCTTGAGCTCAGGGTTTAGGGTCTAGTGCCACCCTGCAGCAGGAGGGGGAGGGCCCTGGAGTTCTTCTAGAGCACAGGACAGCGCAAAAGAGAATCAAACACTGTGTGGATGCAGAAGGGTATTTTTACTGTGTTACAGCTCCTACTGGTATTTTCAAACATTACCTTGTTGTGAGGAGCATAAGCAGTGTTTTTTTCAAGGGGAACAAATTTCTTATCAAAGACATTGACGTAGTCTCTTTAATAGCCCAGCAGCAGCTTGGTCTCGTGGCAAATGGGCAGAGATTTATCTCGATAAATACCATTTTCCCAGTACAGAGCTGTTACCAAGAGGAGGTACACAGCTAAACTACTTCAGGCTTAGAATGTAAGGGATGCTTTTAACCCTTGCCATGAAGTGGCTTCTGACATTGGGTATCTGGCACTAGCCAGATGTTATGCAACTCCATCTCTGGTACACGAATCCTCTGTTTTACTTCAAAGTTTACCAGAAAAAGGGAAGGGAATTGACATAGATATGCTAGGCACTAATGCTCTTTTGGTTTCCAGAGTGGGCTGAAGGAAGTGTCTTTGGAGGATTACAAAGGAAGTGAGAAGTATTGCCCAGATACAGCCTATGGTAAGCAAACCCAGAAGCACTAAGGCCCACAGAACCTTCTCCGGCTGCGTGCCGTAAGAGAGGATGGTCTCTGTCTGCTGCTGTTACAAATTCTTTGGCTGTATTGCTTCAGCATCTGCATCAGACCGTTGCAGGTCACTGCTGTGTGGAGAAGGGGCCAGGTTGTTCTCTAAGCTAATGATAAGGGATGTGGTGGATGTTTGTCAGCTGCCTTTGTCTTTGAGGAAGAAATGGCGAGAGCCAGATATCTTACCAAGGCAGGAAACAGAGCAAATGGGATAGGAGTACTGAAGAAACTAGGCAGAAAATGAGGGATGCTCTGGAAAAATGGAGCCTAAAAGCTTATTGATGAGAACACTTTCCAGCAGAAATGCAGCTTACGTGGAAATACTGAACAGTACTGATGGCATCAAGCTCTCTGCCAGAGCCCAAACTGTGCATGTTTCCTCTGCTTCAAAACCCCCACGTTCTACTTAGTGGTTATTCAGACTCGTTGCTGGGCTGGTGGGCAGTGTTGCCTCCAGATGGCTCCCTCTTGTCCCCACCTTGTGAGTGATTCTGACTTCAGACCTCTGATGGCCACTTGTACTGTGCAGAGGGCAGCTCTGCAGAGGCTGTTTTGTGCCCAAGGAGAGTGCTGCTTACACCAATCTTCCATATCGCTGTAACCTTCCACTATCGTGTGGCAGATGGAATAATGATTCATGCTGTGAATGTTCTCTGCGTGTTCCTCTTGCGCGCCTGCTGTCTTCTGCTTGGTTTGATCCCATTACATTAGATCACATGTTCTCTGTAGTTTTCCATTGTATTCCTTTCTTTTTTTCCCCCTTAATGCTATATGTAGTTTCTTTGCTCTGGCAGCCAGATTTCTCTCTGAATATCAAGCGCACAGCCATCCCATGGTAAGACAAGATATTCAGCAAGTCATCTTGCAAACCCCTCATTAACAGAAGCAAAGCTTTCCAATTTCCTTCCTTCTTTCCTCCTTCCCTTGTTTAACTTCCCTTTTAACATACTTTCATTATTTTGAGTTCCATTCAATGTGATCTGTGATTTCCCTTCCCCTCCCGTTTCACAGGCCTGGATTTTCTGGTCCCCGTCGCAGGTTACCTCTGCAGGCTGTGTCACAAATTCTACCATAGCGACTCTGCTGCCCGGCTCGCACACTGCAAGTCCCTGATGCATTTTGAGAACTTTCAGGTTAGACCCTTTGGCGATTGCATGGCCTGGCATTTGTTACTACCCCTGTGCGTGTCTCTTCAGTGAATCCGCCACGTTAGTTGTCTCGTCTTCAGTTCATTTCCATCACCCTTGGTGTCCGTTGTGTCACAGCTTTCTCCTGATGTGCTCCGTGCTTGTCTCCCATCACCCCCTTAGATCCAAAATCAGTCCAGTCCTGCTTCCCAGCTACTGCTACTGTCATCTTGTTGCCCGTTTCTGGTTGGAAGTCTTCCTCAGAGTGTCTGATCTGTTTGCTGAGCCTGTAGAGTCTGCTGTTTAGCCTAAGCTTCTTTTCTTTGTTAGACAGATTACAGGTGGGTCAAAATGGGAAAGAGCAAAACAGAAAGAGGCTATTCTTTTTAAAGAGAGCTGGTGCTTATGCATCTTTCCATGCAGTACAACAGTGAGCGCAGGAACAGCTCCTTTAGCCAACATTTCAGGTGTGATTCATCCACGAAGGAGCCTGGTAAAATCAGATATTGGAAATGTGACAACAGTGCTCTGAGATACGGAAGCTACGAGCTGAAAGAGTCCGTTTGGTCCCCAGGGTCAGCCTGCAAATGAAGTCAGTCGTTCTGTCTGCAGTGCTTTCCTAGAAACTCCTTAGCATAAATCTCTGCCAGCTGTTGCTGTTCTTTTGCTGTACTGGTTTCACCTGAAGAAGCAGCATTGCCCCTTGTTGCTTCATATTCAGAAACTTTCCCTGCTAGGCTGTCTTGGAATTTGTCTCCATCGTTCTGTCCTTGTTGGCTTGCTAGGGGTGAGGGCCTGGCTTAGCACCTTGAGCTGGGTGTGCAGGGTTTGCACTGTCTCTGCCCTCTCCTTTGCTTACCGCTGCCCATGTAGGAGAGCAGTACTCCTTCACCCTGGAAAGAGGGGAGGCTCCCATGCTGACTTTGTTACCTGCCAGCACACAAAACGTGTTTCCTGACCATAGATCCAGCCTTGTTGCATTTTAGAGTTTTCCTGCTCATCTTTCAGACAGGTTAATTGTTCCCAATCAACCACTGTGTCCTTCAGCAAGGGTTGGGGTTGCTGCAGAAGCCAGCACTTAGGAGCTGTGGATTTGGAATGGCAAATAGCAGGAGAAGCAGCTGTTCTTTGAGGGTTGCTCATCCTCTCCTGCAGCTCGTCATTTCTGGAACGAAGGAATTGGCCTTGCAGCTTTCCTTGCTTATTTTAGATCAGCATGGAGTGAAACTGCAGCAGCAGTGTGTATACCTTCTTTCTGGCCCATTTAAAAGCTGAAATCAGATACTCTTCAAATGGACACTGGAGTGACTTAGAGGAATTATTTGTGGCAGAAATCCAACCTTAAATATCTGCAGGCTAACAGCTATTCTGCTTGGCTGTGTCACAATCAGAATGAAATCATTTCCAATTTTAGAGTATTTTCATCAGAATAGACTCTCAGAGGATTTCAAAGCAGAGAACTGTGTGCTGGTGAGGCAGTTCACAGCTTCACTGTGAAAACAAACTGGCACACTTGTGCCTGGTTGAATTTGGCTGCACTGTTATTACTTGGTTCACTGACTTTGCTCCAGTGCGTTACAATATTGCACATATCCCAGTATTTGAGAATGGGGAAAGAACGAGCCTGTGATGATGTACTGAAGTCAGATGTAAAGCTGTCTGGTGTGCTCTAATTCCACGCTGCAGACTGCAGTAGCACTGCTTAGACAATGGTGAAAGCCAGAGTGCCCAAAATAATTGTGTACAATTGTGAAGTCTAATGCTAGTGCCAGTCCAAGGCACCTTTTGGCAGAAGGATGAAAGGGACGTGGTGGTAAAGGGAACTGCTGTGGAACTGCTTGTGTCATTCTCTGACTTCATACTGCGTCTGGGTCTTCAAAGAGCAGATTCCTGCTGCATGTTAGTGATGTAGCATCACTGTTTTTCTGAAATCCAGTCTTGAAAAAATGCCTGGTGGCCATTTTAATTTCCTTACAGACCTCTACTGGTTTATCATGGTAGCTGGTGTAAACGAGTCATTTTATTGGACGTGTGCTCACCTTTATTCTGGAGATAACCTCAGCACCTTTTAAGATGGGGATACTGGAGATCTCTTAGTATTCCTGCCAGCAGCTTTGCACAGATTGTGTCAGCAGAATGAAAAATCTTAAGCTTTCAACTCAAGTCTTGCTGTGGCTGTTAAACATTAAACCACTCCTCTCCAGGTAAAGGCAGGGCACAGCCTCATGTATCCAGAGTGCTTGTCCACTGTTAGGTGCTGGCGGCAGCTGGATTAAGAGCTGTCCTTGTACTGTTGTATCTATGCAGTCCTCAGTCTGACTGAGATCAACAGTTACCAGACGGGATTTTTGTCTCGGGAGCCACAGGTGTGCCACGCACTCACTCAGCACTAAGTAATTACATTTTTAATATTGCTGCTTTTTCTCACAGGAGCTGCCCTTTCCCTGCTTGAAAGCCTCTGCAGCCAGGCCAGGAGACCGGCTCAGGCAGGTTGTGCTCTTGCAGAGTCTAGCTGTCACTCACCATTATTTTTGTACAGGTTTTCTGGACCAGCTGCTGCTCGCTGCAGTGCCGGCATCTGGCTGGACTTGTCGCTCACAGTGGTTTGTTTGTGTTTGCAGAGATACAAGGTAGCAAGGCATCGTGCCACTGCTGCCTGTCCGGAGGCTCCTTTGCATTCCCAGGGCTCCAGCTCCCAATTGCTAGATGATCAGGAACAGCCTCCTGCTACAACAGAAGATAGCAGCAAGAAGATGAATGCCAATCATGGGCTAGACAAGGAGGGTACAGAGCTGTCAGCACTGCAAGAACAAGCTCTGAGGTCTCCAGAGGGTAAGGGCAAGCTGGCCACCTCTGTAGCAGAGAGCAAAAGCCTAGCCAGCATGACTGATGTGTGTGAAATCATGGTTGTAGAAGAAAGCCTACAGGAGAGCAAATCCACTGCCACTTGCCCGCTCCCCGAAGAGAGCAGCGCCGCAGGGGAGTTGCTGGGACACGCTGTGTATGAGGAGGAGGAAGCCAATGCAGCCAGGCAAGGGGAAGGCACAGAGCACTGCCAGGATCCAGGGAGCGGAGGGGGGTTGGGACAGAAAGAGGCATCAAACGTAAGCCAGGAGGCAGCAGCAGAGCCCTCCTCCCTTGCCAAAAGTGAGACTGCCAGTCTTACCTCTGCTGGGTGCAGACGCTCTTCTAGGCGCAAACCCAGATAGAGTGGCCTTAAAGGGAGAGAGAGCCCTTTACACACCATATTTGCTGGAAATGTTTATTTTCGGAGTCTTTTAATAGAGCAAAAACCTTCAACTTTACTGCTGTTTTTATTTTAAGAATAAAATAAGCCTGGCTTTAGCGTGTCTAATATGGGATGGTGTTGATTATTACTTGTATAGTTTGGATGCTGCAATCATGTGGAAAGACTGCTTTGATTGTTGAACTTGAAAGAAGAATGTAATGTGATTATTTTTCTTTTTCATAGGGGATATGGTTCATGAAGTAGATGGATGCAGACATTTTTTCCCATTTTCTTCCACTACGAATACCACGTAGTTCCCCTCTGCTTCCTTCTAAGGCAGAGAAGTTTGTTTCTTGGGAGACTGTGCCCAATTCTGCTCTTCCGAATGGTTTTCTTTCAAAGATGCACACTCGGACCACTACTGTGTCCTAAGCTAGGCAACAACGTGCATCTTGCTCATCTGTTAATACCATAAGGCTTAATACAGTCTGTTCTCATAGTGGAGACTCTCAGGAACAAATTTTGTTTCAACTGATTTTAATAAAACAGATTTCTTATAACTTCTTCAACTTTCAAAAAAACTCCTTTAACTCTACAGAAGTAGAATAGTTCAGATTTGCTTCACAGTGCTGGCACCAGGCCAACCTGAGTTCACAAAGTTTCAAACCAGAATGCTCATGATTACTCCTGTTAAAATATACAGGGAGGGCTCTGCTCTCATCCCGTGGCAGGCAGAGCACCAAACGGTCACCAATTCACTGGGGCAAACCAGGATGCTCTGCCTCTCTAAGCCTGAGTCCTTAATGGCAGCTCAAGGAGTTAGGTGGCTTCTGATTCTTAGTCAAAATCATCACCTTGTAGCTCATCTTATCTGCCTGGAATGGAACAGAGAAGTCCAGTGATTTGGGACTACCTGTAATACTTACAGTGAATGTGAATAATGGGGAAGCTGTGGTTTCAAGTCAGCAGATGATCTGTGGACCCCCTCCTCCAAGTCTGTGACCAGAGGTGCCAGAGAAAGCCTGGAGTCAGGACAAGCCCTGCCTAGCGTGCTTAGTGAGGGAAGGGGCAGGAGCTGTAGCACTGCTCAGCTGGAGTCAGCAGTACAAAACACCATGATCATTCTTCTACTTTGTGAAGAGAGCTTCCTTGCAAACAACCTGCACAGCCTGAGGCTTTCTGCAACCACTTCAGCCACGTTACGTGGCCATGCTTGCATTAATGCTGGAAGCAAAGAGAGCCACGTCTCCTACACCCACTTGAGTGCACCTATCACACAGCTAAGGAAATCAGAACATGGAGGTGAAGGGCTGGGCACTGCCACAGGAAGGATTATGTAACGGGGAGGAGGTAACTCTTCAATTTTTGATGAACAGTGACCAGTAAATGTCCCCTTAGCAATCAAGTTTGTGGCCAGTGCACTAGACAGGAGGCTGTGGCCCCTGCACGTCAGCTCCCATGCTGTGCTGCTCGCTCTGCTGCTGGAACTCCAGGCGGGTCTGGCGGTTTGACTCCAGCAGTTCCTTCAGGCAGGCATGGAGGTGATCGTTCTTCTCTTCCAGGTGATCCAAGCAGGAGCTGATCTGGTCCAGCATGGAGTTTATTGCTGCATATTCTAAAAGCAAGAGAAATAAGAGGTTGTTCAATGCAAGTCAGTGAAGGCAGTGAATGCTCTTGGAGAACATGCCCACAGCATTTTGGTTGTCTCTTACCTGCCACCATGTGGGTAAAGTAAAATGCAACAGAATGCTGCAGGTATTGAATTCACTTGTCAAGTGAGACCAATGGGAAGCTGGAGAACTGGTAACAAGATCTAAGGCAAGTTACCTGGGGGCAACACACTCATTTTGGGCAGCCTGAAAGCCTTTGGTCACCCATGTAAATAGCTGACCTTGGGCTGATCACCAGTATGCAGTGGTGCAAGTATCAACAGGGCCAAATCCCAAGGGCAAGTCAGCATTTAGAGCTGCCTTAGGGATCAGCTTTCCTGATGAGGATGCAGGCATTCTAGCAGTGTGTCCAAGCATTTACACTCTGTGAATTATGTGTCTAAGGCTCCCAGGCTGCGAAGTGACTCACGAATGCCTTCCTGGGTTCAGATTACCAATGCAGCACAGCCGTTACTGTGCCCACACCCTTTCCAAGGGAGGTGTGAAGCACCGAGTCCAACTACAGTGTTTTTGTGCACCGTTAAGACTTTGGGTAATGTGAGTTAAAACCAAACTAATTCAAAACAATTCTGATAGCTTTCCTAGTTAATGTTGTATTTAAAGAATCTGTTTCGAGCGTTAGCTTCAGTACAATGGCATTTCACAGTGGTGTGGATCAGCACTGTTAATCCCCATGATGTATTGGAGGGCCCAGGCAGAGCAGTGCTGTGCTCCTTCCCGAAGTAGCACGGGCTGGCAGAGTGCAGGGAGGCAGGGGCTGAACTCAGTGAGGATGGTGGGTAGGGGATTGGGAGACAGCACCACATGCTGGCTCTCTCCTTTGAGAGGGCATCGAGCCAGGCACGGCACAGCGCTGAGGGATGAGGAGGAGGTGCTCATTTCACTCCTATGGGTGATGTGGGGGCTGCACCAAAATCACTCAGCCCATCTTTGTCCCACTCGGTTGCTACCCTGGTGTATTTGTATGGAAGTTTAACCAAGAGATATTGGCTGCGAGCACAGCAATCACGCCGCTTACTCCTCTGACAAGAAACGTGGCTAGAAATAATGTTTCATATTTGAGGTCAGGGAAAGCGATCCACGGCCTCAGCTCAGCTCACCCAAGCAATGCCCACAGCTCCAGCAGGCAGCCCCAGCTAACTGCGAAACAGATAACAGCTTCATGGAGACCCACAGCACAGATCCCCGCAGGGTTGACGCTGAGCAGCGACCGCAGCCTCGAGGCCGGGTTTGGCCCCCGCTGAGCCCAGCGCCCGTTCTCCCCCGGGCCTCCTACGACAGCCCCGCCCCGCCAGGGGAACCGCAGCGGACCCGTCGGCACGGGGGTTCCGGTGAGCACGGAGGGCCGCGCTGCCCGCACGCACCTTCCTCCCCGAAGCCGTCCCCGTCCTCGTCGCCGCCGTCCCGCCCGGCGGGGCCCAGCGTCACGTGCGGATCACCGTTAGGCCCCGACATCGCCGCCGCCGCCGCCCTGCCGACCGCCGGGCTGCCGGGGGGCGGGGCGTCCGGGGGCGCCGCCGGCCAATGGGGTGACGCTGCTGGCCAATGGGGTGACGCGGGGCAGCGCGCGCGTCACGTGAAGCCCGGAGGCTGCGTGTAAAGTCTGTGGTTACCGGGCAGGGGGCGCGGCGGGTCGGCAGTGCTGCCCGTTTGGTGTGAGGGCTCCTGTGACACCCAGCGGTTCTGAGGCCGCAGCTCCGCCTTTGCTGTCGAGCTCCGGGCCGCAGCTGAGCACCGTGGCGCCGGTTCTGCGCAGTCTGAGGCGGTTCACGCCGCCTTGGGGTCACCTTCACGTTTCTGCTGCAAAGGATGAAGGCAGCGCGCCGCCTCTCCTCGTTCTTGGTCCGCTAACGGCCGTCCGTTACCCGCCGTGCGGGAACCTGAGCGCCCGAGAACCGTTCCGTCCCCGGGAGGGACGTGACTGAGACAGGAATAACGCGCCGTGAGCGCGCTGCGTTAGGTGGCTCAAAGCTCTGTGGTTTAGCCGATATTTGGGGGGAAGAAAGAGGTTATGTCCCATTTCACACCGCATGAGGCCGCCTTCCTTTCTTTTAGACTGAAGCACTGCCGCCAGCAAGCCGAGCCGCGTCGCTGCGGCACCGACCGCCCAGCGCCCCTCAGCGCGGCCGCCATTTTGGGGCGTGGAGCCGCGGCGGCCGCCCCGCTCCGCCCCGCCTCTCTGCGCCTCCCGCCCCCGTGCCCGCAAGATGGCGGCTGCCGGCAGGGCCTGGCGGTTCGCAGCGCTGCTGCCGTCCTGGCGGCTGCGGGTCCCGTGCCGTTCGTTGTACGGCGCGGCGCGGGGCGCTGCTGCTGCCGGCGGCGGCCGCCTGCTGCTGGGCACTGCCTTCGCGCTGGGCGGCGGTGCCGGTCTGTGCCTAGCGGCGCGGCAGCGCCTGAGGGAGCACTCGGCCGCGGAGGTAACGCGGCGCCAGGCCCGGCGGGGGAAGGGGTGGCTGGGGAGGCGCGGGGCGGGTCTTCCGTCTCCGTGGAGCGCGCGGCTGCCGGTGGCCCGTTTTCGATCGAGAAACGGCTTAAAATGACGTGAAAGAAACCGCAGCCGCGTTTCCCTGGAGGAACTGTAGGAAACGGCTGTCGGAAAGCCGGGGCTCGCTGTGTTTCCGGTGCCCGCTGAGGGCCGCGCAGCCAAGCGCACCGCAAATGAGAAGCGAGCCGAGAGGATGCGTTGTTTTATAACGTGTGGCACCGCTGGCGCGGGCTGCCGGAGCCGCGCGGGGAGCGGCGCTTCGTGCCTGCGCTGCCCCGTGCCTCCCTCGGTTCATCCCAGGGCTCTGAATGCAGGCCGCTGTGTCTGAAAGCTTCGTGCAGCTGTCGGCTCTGAGCCTCTGCCGTCGGTCGAGGTGCAGCGCTGCTTCCCCTCAATGCACCGCGACCAACAGCAAAGCCTCTTCCTGCACCCCCGCCCCGACGGTTCCATGGAGGGTATGGAGCACCAGATTGTGTGCAGAAGAGTCTGCTGTGTGCATCTCACTTCTGGCTGTGAATAGGAATAGGAGTTTCCAGCAGGTTGAGTAGATGTTGAGGAAAAAAAAAACAACAGTTATTGATCCTGTGAGGTGAATGTTAGTGATACTGTTTAAAGGAAGCCTTTTTGAACTGATATACACTGATTATCAGGTGTTGCAAATCAGTGACTATGAGTTTGTAACAAAAATAAGGGTGAAATAAAGATAACGTTCATACTTTTTAGTAGCTTTTGGTCTTTTTTCTTCCCCAGCTGCCTGCAGGGAACCTGCAGCTTACCCTCTACCAATATAAAACCTGTCCTTTCTGCAGTAAAGTCCGAGCTTTTCTGGATTATCATGGGCTGCCTTATGAAATTGTGGAAGTAAACCCAATAATGAGGAAAGAGATCAAATTCTCCTCCTACAGAAAGGTGCCTATCCTGCTAGCTGATGCTGGAAGCCCTCTGGTAAGTTACTGTGGGAAACTTCGATAGGGAAGTCTGTGTCTCTGGCTTTTCACACGTTGTGTAATCTTAAAATCATGTTGTATTCTTTTAAGGCTAAGGTTTGTTCCTTGTGTTGTATCCTCTGCCACGGCCTTGTGAGAGGTGTTTTCAGTCTCTCTTTCTAGACGTGTTGTTTTATGTAGTGACCCTGTAGTCCAGTGATTATCTGGCTTCTCTCAGCCCTTATGCAGGACACACATTTCGTGTCAGAGACAAAAAGGTCTGCTTACGTTTTATGGAAAGAGATCACTCATGATTCAACTCTGTGGCTTTTTAGTATCAGTGTTGCTTTTTCTGCTTTGTTGCTGCAAAGTGCTTCAATCCAAAACCAAAATGGTATTGCCTGTGGACCCATGCCTCAAGTCCTCTGTTATCAGAATGGAAGACAGATATGAAATGTGTGTGGGAGCTGCTGAGTCACAGCCTGAACCTCTGATTGAGCACCTGGGGAAAGGACCTGGTCAGCTCTGAGAGCTCAGCTGAAAGCAGTTCAGCTGTGTGACCAGAAGGGGTGCAGCCTGGCTGCGCCTCTCTTAGACCTCATTTAAGGGCTGACTGCCACTGGGGAGGGATTTCTTTCTGGAGGTCTCTGTGGTGAGGCTTTCCCCTGTGAACCCAGACTCTTCTGATATGGGTGAGCAATCTTCTTTCCTTCCTTTATAACACTCTTCTATTGTGCTGGTCCTTCTGTCGTCACACCTTTGTTACAACACCTTTCCCATCATATTGATGTAATTGCTGTAAATGATACTCTGAGGTGCTTGCAAAAGAGATCTGCATGTAGGGCTGCCTGGGGAAATTCATGAGGGGAAAAAGGGACTGCAGCACTAATTTGGAAGTGTTGGCATGCAGGGGGAAATACTAAGAAATGTCTTTTCAGCATCACCAATTTCTGAAAGTTTGTTTTAATTCTGTTTTTCAGCAGTTGAATGACTCTTCGGTGATCATCAGTGCAATAAAGACCTATCTCATTTCCAAGTAAGAAAACAAAACAAGGAAGAAGAGTTGAATATGAGTGGCCCTGTGAATCTCACCTGTGAGATTTTCTTTGCATAAAAACTGCTTAAGCAGGTGCTAGGGTTAGTCCTGGAACTAAGCTTACATTCAGTCATAATGTCCAGAGTGAAACCAAATTGCTGTAGTCTGTCCTTTGGATCCACTTGAGAAAAGTAGGTAGTTTTATGCCTGCAAAAACATCCTGTCTGATACAGGGGAAATAAGATACACTAATAATAGTTATTTGAGAGCAGCTGTTCCAAAGTCTTTTCAAAACTTATTTCATATAGAGTTTGGATCCACGTGCACTTAGACTAACATGGTTTAAGTATGTGCCTGTCAGTATGTTCTGTGCTCTTGCCCAGTTTTGTAGCAGTCTGATCAGGTGCTAACTGTATTATTGTCCACAGGAGGAATAGCCTAGAAGAAATTGTGTCCTTTTATCCTCCCATGAAAACTGTGACTGAGCAAGGCAAGGAGGTACTTGAGTATGGGAATAAATACTGGCTCATGCTGGATGAGAAGGAGACAAAGCGAGTCTATCCTGTCAAAGAAGTGAGAGTGTAAGTGCTCTGTAGTTTGTGGGTCCTTCAAGTAGTGCAAAGCCAGCTCCAGAGATCCTCATGGTAGTGTGTCTATTAAATCCTGTGGGTGCTGACAACACCTGCCACACTCCCTCACTGTCTAAAACCTGGGTAGTTAGTGTGGCTTTGTGTGTTGTACGTCATTTGAAACAATGCTGTTGGATGACCGAGTTCCCTCTATTGTGGTCATGCCTCCAGTTGCCTCCAGTTGCCTCCAGTTTCCTTCTTGGCCTTTATGTCGCAGAGGAATGCCATGGAATACTAGTTTCCCAGGGGGATACTTGCTGCTTTAGTTCTAAGGGGAAGGAGAAGCTAGTGCTCTATCTTCAGTCTTAATTACAGATGGAGATTGGAGGAGCCTTGCTGAAGATAATGCTCCTGAGTGCATTTCAGAGAGGTCACCAAAGCACGTGTTTAGGTAGGGCTTTTGACACGGTTGTCCTTGGTAAAAGCTCTGGCTAATGTCACTGTGATTCTCTCTGCCTCCTCTAGCCCTGATTTCTGTACCTCATTCCCTGACAAGTCTCTTTCAATACCTGCAGGGAAGAAATGCAGTGGAGAAAATGGGCAGATGATTGGCTTGTTCACCTCATTTCCCCCAATGTTTACCGCACCCCCAAAGAAGCCTTGGCGTCCTTTGATTACATCGTCCGCGAGGGGAAGTTTGGCACCGTGGAAGGTTTCTTTGCCAAGTACTTGGGGGCCGTTGCCATGTTCTTCATTAGCAAGAGACTGAAGAAAAGGTGGGTACCACTGAGCCCCAGGTGCACAGTCATGACTCCTTGATGGCCACAGCTATGAACTTCAGAGTCTAAAGAGCAGAACCTGCTTTGAATCCAAACCACTTGATGCAGTGGGAGTAACAGCTGTGTTGCCCTGACTGTGGAGGTACTGAACTCCTTGTCTGCTCTTTACACACCAGCTGTCCCCTTCACCTTAGAATACCTTCCTGATTCCCCAGCAAAGACCAGCCCAAAAGATTAGAGGTGATGAAAGGTTGAAGAACCAAACCTGTGTTTTCAGTCTAGTTCTTTTCTTTGTTTAGGCATCACCTTCGCGATGATGTCCGCGAAGACTTGTACGAGGCAGTTGATAAGTGGGTGAAAGCCATTGGCAAGAACAGGCTGTTCATGGGTGGAAGCCAGCCAAACCTTGCTGACTTGGTAAGTGGTTAATAAGTGGTTAATTCCTGTTTCTATGGTTACATATATTGCAAATTACCCAGTTGTTCATCCATGTGAAATGGTGAACATGAACATAGGCAGAGAAGGGGATTTATATCAGCTACAGGCACATAGGACACTTGTTAAAATAGGACAGTGTTTGCTGATTTCCTTCAGCAAAAGAACCTGCAGGTGGGTGTTACAGATTGTGTGGAAGAGTAAGAGAAGCAGTTTGCAAATCAGAACAACTGCTCTGAAC